CTTTCCATACGCTCTTTCAGTTATATAACAGTTATATGTTGGTTTGCTGGGGTACGACATTGAACCACCGGCTGTACTCCATGGTTGCAATTGCTAAACAAATGAAGATGTAGATATAATGAGTAATTTTTGTTCTATCTGCTAATAGCTTAATATTTTGTGTCAGCACGTTTCTAAAATTATTCCTTTAGCAGAAATAACTTGATAGAATCTTGAAAAGCAAAAATCTATGTTAAATATAAAGGTATAGCGCTTGTGTTCTATTCAAAATAATGACATGTGTTAAGGCCAAGGTTGACAAGCTTTTTCGGTTGTTATAAAATTATTTTAATATGGAGTATGTAATTACATTGATTCAATCTTGCGTCGATTCAATCTGGCGCAAGATTGAATCAATGTAATTACATACTCCATATTAAAATAATTTTATAGCAACCGAAAAAGCTTGTCAACCTTGGCCTTAACGCACGTCATAAAAATCTATGTCTTACAATTATCTGCAAATCTATATCTTACAATTATCATCAAATAAATTTTCAGATTACAAAATATAATTATTATAATAAGGGAGGCGTTTATTTATACATCAGGCATTATTTGTGAAACTAGGAGGCTCGCCAAGTTGTGAGGGTCACATTTGTTCAATAAGTGAGTTTTATAAAAAAAAATGGAACTAATTATTGTAACTGGTAAAAAATTTTTCTTTAAAGAAAAAATACAGTAGTGCAATACAGTAACAAAAAAGTTGTAGTATAGGATTCTTAAAAGAAGGTTCAAAACGTGTGTCATATTCTTATCAACAATGCGTACATTAGGCAAGAGTTCATGATCCAACATGGCAGATGTACCTAGCGAGGCTCCCGAACGTGAGTATACATTGCCATCTGATTTTAATCAATAAACCGCACGTAAATTGAATCAATTCAAGACACGTAAGCTTGACGTTCATTAAGATCGCACAATTATTGATATGTCGATTACATTACATCGCGTTTACAATGTGACGGACGTTAGGATTGAAGACTAGGTTAGCTCGGCGTCTGACAATTTTGACACTCTTCACGTTAAACGCAATTACTGTACATCATTTGGAAAACATGATCTTTACGTTAATTAAAAAAAATACCAACTGGATAATTTCCAACTAAAATAACAAAATGTGCTGTCATTTTTATTATACTGCTGTTACGTGTGTGAATCATTGTTTCTCTCTTTCTGTCAAATCATTTCTACAGATATATAATATAATTAAAGTTACTTACAAAGAGTCTCAGCAAACACAGAGAACATTGCAGCGACATTACGGCAACATTGTAACAATATTACAGCAATATTACAATATTGTCGCAATGTTCTGTGCTTGCTGTGGTGCTACAAATGCTAAGACACTTGTGTGAAATTTCTAGACTGCCCTGGAACCCAGAGTGATAATGCCGGCAAAGCATCGGCTTGTGCGGGCTGCCCGAATCAGTCGCTGTGCTCGTCCGGTGCCGCCAGGCAGCCGGATCCTGGCATTGCGCTTGTGAAGGAAAGGCTATCCTCAGTGCGGAGTAAGCTGCTGGTGCTCTCGGGCAAGGGCGGAGTGGGCAAGAGTACCGTGACGTCGTTGCTGTCCAGGTGTCTTGCGGCAAATAATCCTGACAGAAATGTGAGCATGTAACTGATGACACGTGAAAAAGGAAATAATGCGTGCTCAAACTGAATATATTTCTTCGTGACAAGCATTCGGTTCCCTCGCCTATGGTGTTTCATGTCTCTTTTATGCTACGCGCTACGTGTTGTGTCATGCTGACAAAAAAAAATGCCAATACAAATGCCGTACATTTTACTCTTTGCACAAACAATCTCACACTTGTATGATAAAGTTAAAAAAGAAGCAAGTTAACGTAATGACACTCACTCTTCTGCCCATTCCAAGTACGTCCATGTTATTTTCAATGTACATGATGAACGCCCAGCCACTAGTTTGGAGGAAATAACCTCAGACGGAGAGTATCTATAGTCAACTACTGGCCTATATGTATGTCGTATCAACCGGTGCCAGTCCTTTATTGATTACCACACTTTTGGTGTTCTCATTCCCTTTCAGCATTCCAAACCAAGATAAATAAAGATATACAAGCACCGTATAACGTAATTAATCACTTTGTCGTGTACATTGAAATCTGACAATTATAAATTCGATTAGAGAGAGAAAGAGAAAAAGAGAAAAATTTCAAATCTTATGTTCATACGATCTCACGTTCAAATCTTACGAGATATTAAAATCTACGTGTCTCATTAGGTGGGAGTATTGGACATCGACATTTGCGGGCCATCGCAGCCAAGAGTACTGGGAGCACTTGGTGAGCAGGTTCACCAGAGTGGATCGGGATGGTCCCCTGTGGTAGGTAAACTGGAGCAGAATTACCACCCCGACAAAGGAAGGACCTATTGCACAACATTGTACGCGTCATTTATTTTTGTTCTAGTATATCGAGGATAACTTGTCGCTGATGTCGATTGGATTTTTGCTCGGCAGTCCGAGTGACGCGGTTATATGGAGAGGGCCGAAGAAGAATGGTACCGTGTGCTTCCAAGACTTCATCTTTCGTTATTCTTGTTGCATTGGCCTGCGTGTGATCTTTCCTTATTGTTATAGAGGAAACTCCTCTAATATGAGATAATAGGTTTATAACGTTCAAATTCACTCACAAATCTTTTTCAGCAACGATTACACGGTCAATTTTCCACTAAACATATTTCTTCAAGGGTAATAAATTCATGGTGGCATCAACAGATGATGCCTATTAATTTAGCAGAAACTATTCTATCTCATATTAGAAGCCTACCTCATAATAGGGGACTTTCATCTATATATCGACATATGTCCAGGTATGATCAGGCAGTTCCTGTCGGAAGTCGACTGGGGTAGTTTGGATTATCTCATTCTGGATACACCGCCTGGCACGTCGGACGAACACCTGTCAGCCGCGTCGTATCTCAAGGGCGCCGGCATTACGGGTGCCATAATTGTCACGACGCCGCCGCAAGTTGCCCTCCTCGACGTCAGGAAGGAGATAGACTTCTGCAGGAAGGTGAACATTCCAATTATGGGCGTGGTTGAAAACATGAGTGTCTTCGTGTGCCCCAAGTGCAAGGTGAGGACGGTGCGATCGCGAGTTGAGATGGGAGGAAAGGATGGGGTGGATATGATCGATGAAACATCGTATTTGCACACAGAACACCGCGGAAATATTCCCAGCTTCGTCGGGCGGCGCGCGGACGATGTCGAGTGAATTAAATGTGGAATTCTTAGGCTCGATACCTTTAGACCCGCTGCTGGCCAGATGTTGCGACGAGGGTAAAAACTTTCTGACAGAGATGCCGGACTCGCCAGTCGTTAGCGCTTTAAACGAAATTACCAAGAGTAAGATCTTAACGTGTCTCGTAAGAAAAGTATCCGAGTACCTTCTCATGAATGACAAGACCAAAAATATGTTGCTTTCAGGTATCGCTCGAAAGTGTGAAGAAGAGAAAGAGAACTGTCCCAGTAATTCTTAACGCAAACTACATCTTTTGTACAAAGATTTGTATGTAAACGCGCCTGTATTGCTGACTAAGTCTATAATAAAGAGACCCGTTCTGTTCTAATGCAACTTTTAATTTCAAATCTTCGCGCTTTAATACACTGATCGACTTGATTCACAGGTTCCTGAACGCAATACGAAAAGTATTAGCGAAATCGGTAGCTTGCACTGGTGCGAACTGAGTGCGCACTAAGGCTCGTTTACAGTCAATTCCTATATTTAAGGATCGTCTTAAATACTTTTTATCCAGTAAAATAATCTGTATAGCAATCGTGCGGATCATTGTTTTTGGTTGAATAGTTTTTGGGCATGTACTTGAGATGACCATAAATATTAAATTCCGAGAATTTCAAACTTCAAATCTCGAAAACTGGCAAAGTATCAGGAGAACATGATCGGCAAAGAGGTAGCGCTATCTAAATTTTATACGAGGCAAGAAATTCATAAACGCATCGCGAGAAATCGACGGGGCGAGCGTTGGTGATGAAATACATATACGTATCAAACCGATACTGATTGTGTCAGCTCGGCGATAGCTTCTTGTGAACGAATGCTCTGTCTGATAAATTCGAGCGCGGAATAGAGAGGCCACATTTGCTGCAACTCGCTTCCCATTTTGCCGCGTTAGGCTGATATTACATTTGTCGTGCGGCAAATGTAGCACCAGCCTCAGTTAAGCCCGTATCGGACTACGAATTGAGATCGAGATTAGATTGAAGTTTGACCAATTGGAGTAAAAATCACTAAACTTGAGATTAGTAAATTTTAAAACTCCGAGCGGTAAAATTTCAATCCAATCTGAATCCCAATCCGTAGTCTGACACGGACTTTACAAGTATATTTCATTACTCGGCGACAGTGGACACGAGTGCAGATAACGTGGATGAAATGCACACGATGCAAAGTCAGCGCACACGACGCGAAGATCAACACGGGCGTGCGTTATGCGCAGCGGCGAGTGGCTCGGGTCGCGGCGCGAGATCCTTTGCTCGAAAATAATACTTTAATTCAGGCTCTTCGCGACGTACACAGTGGCACGTGCGGCGCGGGACTTTATTTTCGGAGGCCCAGCGCGTACTTGTGCGGCGAATGCGTATGTAATTTCAACAACTTGCAGGTTATGAGCCGAATATCTAGCGAAAGTGTATTTAAAATGCGCTCCCGACGGAATACATTTCGCGGTGTACTGTTTGCGCGAGATAAAAATGCGTGCGGCGACGATAACGTCGCCGACGAAAAGGAAAACAGATTAAAACTTTCGCTCGAGGACGGTCTACGTCCGTTTAAATTTAGACGTGGAGTTTAGACTTTGCTGGAGATACATTTATTTCGTAAACATTCGCTCGGCCGGCAGTGACTCCGTACGCTCGTGTATAAAATACCTTTAACGTTCCTTATCGCTTTTCAGACAGAACCGGCTGAAAATTGTCTCTGGCAGCAGCTTTGACCGACACAACTCGAGACATGACTGATGCGGAGGCGCGTGGACAGGATGTTCCTGAAAAGTCCCAGTTCCACGGTACAGCCAAGGAGCATTCGAACAATATTGCAGGTGGATTTAATGACGTGTTTGTTAAGATATTGAACGATGAATCTCACAAGCCGTCAGCGAAAGAGCGCGAGAAAGAGGAGTCGAATCTTTATAGACGCAACAGTGTAAAACGGATCGCAATAACGTTATTCTTCGGCCTTCTCGCGGCTTTGTTGCTGTTTTATCTCGATCTTCCACTATTGTACATGATCATGGGTCCATCACGCACCGCTACAAGTAGCTACGATGCGGAAGTGGAATTCATGATTGATATAAATAACGACAGCGTCGAGGAGACACGGTATCGGCATATACTAGTGGATACTCCCGATGTATACATTGAACAAGAGACGTACGATCGCAAAATAGTGCCTTTAAATGAAGGAAGTAACCCACCGGGAGGAAACGAATCCTTCGGCGTTCAAGTAAGCGAGGTCTAAATTTCTCTGTTGCGAGAAAACCAGGTAACACACCGTGCCACTTATACTTGTGTGTATGTTTAAAGCAGTGCACCAACGTTCCTGAAGTGTTGCGCTTCGATTGCCATCCAGAGAATGGAGCGTCGCAGCTTGCCTGTACGGACAGAGGATGCTGTTGGAATCCCCTCGTGAGGGACGGGAGTGAAAAGAGCGTGCCGCTAAATATTCCTTACTGCTACTATCCCGAGGGATGGGATCTGTACAGACTCGCCAGCCACAGTCAGGATGGTAGCAACTTCTTAGGGTTTCTCAGCCGAGAGAAGGAATCTGCGTACAGGAACAATGTGCCACTCGCGAAGATAGAAGCCACGAGCGTAGACAGTTCAATTCTGCGTGTCAAGGTACAATGTATTTGCGAGTATTTATGGACTCCTCTAGTTCGGTTTGTCGCACTGTAATAAGAGAACGCAATGTTTAGATATACGATCCTGCGAAAGCGCGATATGAACCACCGTGGCCAATTAGGTCGGATCCAAAGCCATTTTTGTACCAAGTTTCCAATACAAAATATCAGTTTAAGAGCGATGGCGTAAAACCTGGTTTTAAAGTCAACAGAATCAGCGATGGCACAACACTGTAAGTAGGAAAATATCGTTTATGTTGTATTCAGAATATTATCTGCAAGGTTTTAACGGATTTGTGAAGATTAAGTTTCATATTCGAAGGGATAAGGACTAATGAGCCGTGACGGGATGTTAGAGAGTGTTTAAATATTTCTTATTTTATCCTTCGAATGTGTATTTACCATAAGAGAGCCTTATGAACTTTATTAATTTGTATCATATAGAACGACATATGTTTCACGATATAACGATCTTTTATATAACTTAGACTTCTGTTTCTCCATTTATATTTATTAATACTTTTTTAATTATCAATGTTGCGATACAAATATCTTGTTACACTTCAGATGTCACTGAGAACTTTGCTTGATCGAAACGTATTATTTCCGCACCTAACACCTAGCGTTTGGCTCTTACTGCCTCTCTATACTCCTAAATGTATAACAGAGCCTTAATATTTACTAATTCGTTTATAGAGTTTTGTAATTTTGATGTGTTAAACAAAATTATGAAGGTTATCATTAAAATTGTCTTCACAATACATTCTGTTTGCAGATTTAATTCTATTGGGATCGGAGGTTTCATATTTGCTGACCAGTTTTTACAAATAAGCACATTGCTACCAACGAGCAACATTTATGGCCTCGGCGAGCATAGATCGAGTTTAAAATTAAATACTAATTGGCAATTGTTCACTTTATTCAATAAAGATCAACCGCCAACGGAGAACGTACGTTGCTTAATTTTATCGCGGAGCAAATGGATTGTTGCTGCGTGTTGCAAATAATGTGTTCTCTATTTATTTAAGGCTAATTTGTACGGATCTCATCCGTTTTACATTGTTATGGAGGAGTCTGGGATAGCTCATGGAGTCCTATTTCTAAACAGTAATGCCATGGGTACGTTTTCTTCTCCTAAAACAAATATGTGTGGTATAACTTTACTAAAAATAATCCCATGTGTTTTAGACGTGATATTACAGCCTACACCGGCTATAACGTTTAGGACGATCGGTGGTATTTTTGATATTTACTTTTTCCTGGGGCCGACTCCAGCTGATGTAGTGAGACAATACTCCGAAATCGTAGGGAAACCGTTTATGCCACCCTATTGGTCGCTCGGTTTCCATTTATGCAGGTATTATACCGATTATACAAAGTAATATTCAACATCACGGATATTAACCTTTTCCTACATTAAGGTTTGGATATGGATCGTTGGAAAATACTAAAGCAGTGTGGAACAGAACGAGAGCGGCTGGAATCCCATTTGTAATGTCTGCTGTATTATAAAATGTTTCTAAATGTAAGCTATACATTATCACGAAACATGTTGTATTTATAGGACACTCAATGGAACGATCTGGATTATATGGACAAAAATAATGATTTTACATACAATAAAGAGAAATTCAGGGATTTGCCCGAGTTTGTGGAAGAAATTCACTCGGTATGGTACACTGATATAAAAGATTATATGATCGGCAAGAGCTGGTATGAATCACTAGCAATTTTCTTGTTATTACAGGTAGGAATGCATTATATCCCTTTGATAGATGCTGGCATATCTGCTTCCGAAGATAATGGCTCTTATCTGCCTTACGACGAAGGGATAAAACAAGATATATTCGTGAAAGACGGTACGTCCTCCAAGCCTTTCGTCGGCAAAGTTTGGAATTTCGTTTCCACGGTATGGCCAGATTTCACAAACCCCAAAACCATGATCTACTACGCAAGTATGATGGGCGATATGCACAACAGTTTCGCATACGACGGTGCATGGATCGTAAGTCTCGGCCGGCTTGAAAAGTTACTTTGATACTTTCGAGTTACGCGATTCCTAAATCAACTAAAATTATTTCATTCGCGCATCAAGGATATGAACGAGCCGTCCAATTTCTACAATGGTTATAAAAACGGCTGTGCGCATAACAACCTAGATTATCCCGAATATGTCCCCAATGTCGTTGGCAATTTGCTCTCTACGAAAACTCTCTGCATGAACGCGAAACATTATTTGGGCGCTCACTACGATCTTCACAATACTTATGGAACTAGCCAAGCGATTACCACGAATTAGTAAGTAGAAGAACAATTTGTAATCTTCAAACTCTTACAAAGAACTTAAGAATTTACTCTACCAAATTGTTTGCAGTGCTCTTAGGAAGATTAGACTGAAGAGACCGTTTATAATATCGCGCTCGACATGGGTGGGACACGGTCATTACGCGGGTCATTGGACGGGTGACGTTTATTCATCATGGTGATTAGAATTTGTCTCAATGTGCGTCATATTATCTTTATATATTAATCAAAGAACCATTTTACCAGGCATGATTTGAAGATGAGCATTCCAGCCATTTTGTCACTCAATTTCTATCAAATTCCAATGGTGGGCGCGGATATTTGCGGTTTCGACGGGAACACAACCGCTGCGTTGTGCAATCGCTGGATGCAACTTGGTGCCTTCTATCCATTTTCTCGAAATCATAATTCCGATAGTACAACTGTGAGTGTGTCGATATATGTGTAAGAAAATTATTGAAATATTCCTAATATATTATAATATCTAAATGTATTAATATAAACGTCCACAGGAGCAGGACCCGGTTGCATTGGGCGACTTAGTTGTACAATCGTCCAAAAATTCTCTCAGAATACGTTACCGACTCTTACCGTATTTGTACACCTTGCTCTTCAGAGCACATAAATTTGGAGAAACAGTAGTACGTCCACTGTTCTTCGAGTATGTATTGATATCTTGTGTTCTACCTGTCGTATCTCTATTACATATTATAAGTAACATGTGTATTAATGTTATATAGATTTACCGATGACCAACAGACTTATGACATTGACACGCAATTTCTTTGGGGAAGTGCGTTTATGATCAACCCGGTTCTCGAAGAAGTACGCCATCAATTAATTTTATCATTTACATAATGAGACGCTTCTACATTTAATTAATCGACGTAACTTACTTCACAGGACAAGATTGAGATAGCTGTTTATGTACCGCGTGGTCTTTGGTATGATTATTATACCCTGAAGTCCTTCTTCTCCATTGGGAAACATTTTACCTTACCTGCACCGATTGACACCATACCACTATTGATTCGTGGAGGCTCGATACTGCCAGCGCAGAAACCGGGTGTAACGACAACGGAGAGCAGAAAGAATGATTTTGAATTAGTAGTAGCGTTGGATGAAGCTGGAAATGCCAACGGAGAACTGTATTGGGATGATGGCGATAGCTTAGGTAAAACATTTTGTGTACAAACAATTACGTCGAACTGTATCCTGACTATTACTTATATGTTTTAATCTACAGATTCGATAAAAAATAAAAAGTTCTTATGGCAGTCGTTCGTTGCAAACCAATCTAACTTGATGAACGTGAAACTGGAAGAAGCAAGCTACTTTATGGAAGAGGTGATTCTTGGAAAAGTACAGATTTTGGGATTACAACAGCAGGTCTCTCGAGTGTTCCTGAATAAAAATGAAATAGGATTTAAATACGACGTTTTTACATCGGTAAGTATTTTCTTTGATAGCGATAAATATCTGAAATCAAAGCATGAGTTTTGAAACATTTTGATAAATTATTTCAGAGCCTAGATATCACAGGTTTACAAGTGGACATGAGACAACCGTTCGAATTTTACTGGACACTTGGAGAACCCAACGATAATGCTATTAATTAAACGTGTATATCACGGTGTATAAATTTCAGAACTAATAATTAATGTGACATGTGATATGTTTATACGTATAATAGTTTTTTTTTAAATAATATTCTACTTTAAGTTGATATATATTTTTCTTATTCACTTATATGAATAATAAGTGTAAAATTTTTCAATTATATAAATATATGAAAAAAAATTATTGTTTATACAGGTATTTTTATATATATGCAATGAATGATTATTAGCCTATTCAATTACGCTAATTTATATGTACTCGCGAGTGTTAATAGAAAAGTAACGTTCACAAGGAAAGAAAACGCGCGAATAAAGAAACGTGTTTATTCAAATCGTCTTCTCCCACATATCGCACAATATATTAATGTACAAATATTACTATGTTTAGTTTATGGCACTAAAGAAAAACAATAAATCCAGCATCCCGATCTTGTCGATGCTGGAAAGAGAAAGAAACGTAATTCAAAGTTCATTTCGCGCGAAAAGAAAAATAAGAATAAAATTCGCGAAAGGGACACAGTCGTTCTCGCGATTTACTTGCTTTGGCACCGTAACTCAAAATCATCGAAGTCAGTGGACTCGGTCGAGGAAAAATATGGGAAGCTACGCTTCCTGCCGACCATTCGAAACGGCTCTCCTCCGACCTCGATCTATATTCAAAGTGCACTCCGACCCGCATTTGCATCCGCAAGCGTAGATTTCGATCTTCCGAATAAATTTGAAAACGCTAAGTAACTACGTGCGCCATACATTCGGGCTCATGTTAATACATTAAGGTGCGTCACACGCATGAATACGCGTTGCTGCTCTCTTTCCTCTCCACAGCTTTACGATGCAAAATGCGTATCTTGGTGCCTGCTAATAATAAAATTAAAATCATATAAAACGTAACGGTACATATTTGGCAATGAAAGTAACAAAGTCTTTGGACTCGATAACATCCCGATCGTTCTTGCGTGCTGAAAAGAAAGCTCGGAAAACGAATCTCTTTTCAAATAACAGCTTAGATATCGCAAACGATTACATCGCATAAAATAGCACCTCCAACTGCAGTATTTTTGACTATTTTTAATCCAGCGCACGCTTAAGAAATATCCTTATGGTACGTCGAGGAAAGGAACTTTGCTTAGAATTTTGTTCTTTACATTGAACTGATGCTCAGTCTAGGAATACCAGGTTAATTTTGATTTTATGCGCTAGTAAAAACATCCTCGTCTAGAAAAAGAATGATTTACATCAGATACCTTGATAGTCTATTTTACTGTACATTTCTACTTTCGTTCATCGAGAAATAAGTTCATTTTTGGAAATTTAACATCTTCAGAATCGATAAGAAAAAGATATTGCGTTCCTCTTCCTTCGCGACCATCAGCATATGTTCGTCTAATACCAATATATATATATACAATGTATATATATATGTGTGTATATGGATATAATATATATATATCTTTTTCTCTCAATGACTAATATATACTAAACTCCCAACCTTCGTTCATTATTGTCTGCTCACATTTACTTAATGACTATCTAAAATGATGGCAATGTCACGGCACACCGACGTGTTTACTCATCCGCGGCCAGTCAAGCCTCTAGTTGCGCGCGAGTGTAACGTATAAGTGAGATAAATAACGAATAATAGTATCAACTACAACGGGAACACATCGCGCAAGAATGTGTCGAAATCGCCGTTTTCCAGACGCCCCCGTGAACACATTTATATATAACAAAATCTCATAATATTTAATTCATAAATGTGTATGTATATATAATAGATATGTATATAGATGTATATCTTCATAAATATATATAGGATAACGATTGCGCGTGAAAGAACGTAATTGCGAATGACTCGTGCTAGCCTCGTTTCTGGATGTTTGCTTTTTGGTATACGAACAGTCGTGCTTATAATTAGAGTAAAATATTATGTGCTAAAACGATATCCGTGTACCTTCGCCAGCGTTTCTAACAGAGTATGGCAAGAGAAACGTCTAACGCTATCTCACAATCAGTCGCCGAAGAAGCGCGGCGGTTTACTTCTGTCGTTTCAGAAACGTGCCTGGCTCTCGTTAATTTAACTCGACAGTAGGACACTCTACTCCATTGCGATGGCTTACCTTACGCTACAATAAAGTAAAAGGATATTCACTTAGCTCCCCTAAATCATACGATGTACTCACTGGTTTAGTATGGCAAGTATTATGACACATGGCACCACAGAAGAAATTAGCATTCGTTAGTTATCATAGATTAGATATCACACGGAGAACCTCGATCGTCTTATCGTCGGTTGATTGCTGCGATTAGAAATTACTCAACAGTCCTCTAGAATTTTCTTGAAAATTGTTATTAGTCTTTATCATTATTAAGAGTACTGGATGCAGAGATCATATCGTGACCGCATTGCAGCTTCCGGCATTCTACTTCACTTTCTAAAAGTTCTTTGCGATAAATCATAAATTATAAAAGAGAAGAAAAATGCATAAAAGTTATAGATAAAAAAAGTCGCGTATGACGTTGACAGATTGAAGTATTAGGAATAATACAATTCGTGGACAAAATAATTAAATTTCGGTGCAAATTTTGGTATAGTTGCAAACTGAGCGCAAAAAAAGTTGCTGTCATTGCTACTGATTTGATCTCACTCTTCTTCATGTCGAGAGGAAACTAGAGCTACCGTTAATGTGTACAAACGCGTCTACGTGGCTGTGAGCGTCTCCAAAATATCCTCGGGTGACTTTTTCATTTTACGGAAATTCTCCCAGTGCTCCTTCGGCACTGTCCATTCTAGAAAGATTTCTAGATTCCGGGTGAGGGCCTCAAGCTCGGACAAACCGCTGCCCGTGACCGGTTCTTTGCCGGCGGACACCAGGGAGTCCTGAAGAACGTCGTCGATGAGACGTTTGCCGAAGCCGAGCTCGTCCAATCGTTCCTGCTTACTGATCCTCTTCAGCAGCACCGCCAGCAGCAGCCGCATCTTCTCCACCGTCATCAGCTTGTACTTGGCGGTGACGGAGTTCTTCTCGACAAGCTCGGAGCCGCCGGCCGGTTTAACAGGAGCGCCGACATCGTCGTCCTCCGCCTCCACCTCTGGATGACAAGTCTTCTCGTGGTTCTCCAGGTCGCTCTTAATCCTGAAAAAATTTTTGCAACGCTTGCAGCCATATGGATCGTTCCTGCCGTGTATGCACTTCATATGCTTCTTCCAATGCGGCAGCTGAGTGAAACCGGCATTGCACTCAGAGCACTTGAACGGCCGTTCCCCGGTGTGACGTCGGGTGTGCAGCTTCAGGGCGGTCGAATGGGCGAAGGCCTGCCAGCAAACTAGGCAGCGAAACGGTCGCTGGCCGGAATGGGTCCTTTGGTGCACGGTCAGTTGGGACTTCTGGGCGAATCGCTGGCCGCACGTGGCACAGCCGTGCGGACGGTCGCGCGCGTGCGTCCTCATGTGCTGCGGTAGGTGGCCCTTGAAGGTCTTGTTGCAGATCGCGCAGAGGAAGGACTTGACGTCGCGGTGCAGGCACTCGAGATGTTTCTTCAGGGCGTCGCGGCGCACGAAGGCGCGCCCGCACAGGTCGCACTTGTGATCCTTCTGGCCGTTGTGTCGCTTCAGGTGTAGCGACAGATTGGCTGCGCACGTGAACGTGTTGGAGCACAGCTTGCAGTGGAACGGTCTGTCCTGGCTGTGCGTGCGACGGTGCTGCACCAGCTGGCCACCCCGCGCGAAGCTCTTGTCGCACTCCGGACACTTGTACGGCTTGAAGCCGGTGTGCGTGCGCACGTGCAGCTTCAATCGCTCCTTCAGCGGGAACTCCTTGCCGCACTCGTCGCACGTGAACACCGGCCCGGCCCCGTGCACTACTTTATAGTGATTTCGTAGACCGCCGCTACCCTTGAATCGCGCGTCGCACACGACGCAGCAGTATTTTTTCTGGGGAGTTGGCTGGTCCTTCAACTGTCTGGTCTGATCGCTTCGCTTCCTCCTCGTCTTCTTCTCTATTGAATTGTACAGAGAACCGTCGCTAATCTCCGCGTTTATCGAGGAGGTGGTGCCAATGTGCTCCGCGATTTTCAGCCCGTCAGAACCGACAACGTTGTTGTTCTCACGCTCCAGCAAGAAATTCGCTTGAATGATGGCGTTGACTCTTAATCTGAGCTCCTTTTCAGGATCTTCTTTCTCAGCGACGTTATCTGCTTTGGACTTGCATTTCTCCTTCTCGTCTACGCCGGAAACCTTTCCAGCGAATTTTTTCTTCTCATCAAACAATTCTCCATCTGTAGTGGGATAATCTTCGCAAAAGTCTTTGTGACTGGTCGCTCCTGACTCCTCTGGTTCCGAACTCGAACATGGATCCAGCGGTTCCCGTCTGTATACGTACACCTCCTTAAAGCAGTCTTTCTTTCCCAAGTCCAAGTACGATTGTTCATTAATGTCTTCTTCGTCGCATCCGGCGGTATCCTTTCTAATCAATTTCTCCGTTCCACAATTGTCCTTCCTCTTGCTCGTCTTCGACAGCTTTCTTTTCGGTGCTCTCACGCGAGTGAGCTTCCTGCCGTTGCGCACTTTCTTCTCCGCTACCTCGTTACTTTTCTCTTCGCCGAGGTCCTCCACGTCTTTAGCATTGTTCTTGGCCTCTTCCGTTCTTTTCTGACGAGCCGCCGCTCGTCGGTGCTTGCCACCCTGGCGTTCCGAGTGCTCGACGTTCTTGCAGAAATTGAACTCCCGCAGGTCAAAGCTCTCGCCATCGCCGCAGTCGCCCGAGAGACTCCTGAGCGCTCTCAAAGCGTCGGTCGTGTCGGCGTCCTTGAAGACATTCTCTCTGATGCGTGATTGCTTCACCGGCAACAATTCGGTCAGCTCAACTTCCTCCTGCGGCTGCTCGGGCCCGGTTACATTGTTCAAGACCGTCTGCATGCTAATCATCGCGCCGTGCATTCATCCAGGCCCAGACGCCTCGAGAGACTTCGACGCTCGATTTCAATTATCTCGACATACTGCGTGACGTGTTGATCGTCCGTCTTCAAGTAACTCACATCGACCATTGCTTCCTTCTCCGGTCGAGCTTACAGGCGTGCGTTACTACCTTGAAAAATCGTACGAGTACGACGCTTGACATGTAGACGTGGGACTCTCTATAAATTGCAATTGTTCAGTCTACGTATATCTTATTCATACGATTCACGTCTCTCCAAATCGAACCGAATGAAATCGCCAGGCATCGATGTCGCTTCACGCTCGTGCACGGAGTGCGGGACGCGACCGTGACCCCGATCGTTATCGGCGACGGAGCGAGAGGTTTGAGGAAACTCTTACCGCGGGTCCGGATATTAAATCGTCGTTCGCCGCGCTGCCCTAGTGACCGCCACGAGGCATCGTCAGTTCCGAACTGGTAGCGGCGCGCGGAGCTCTTTCTCGAGGAAAACTCCAGATTCGTCTTTTATCAGCGCGACGGCGATGAGGTCGGCGCGAGAACAAGGGAGCAAGAGAGACGGAGAGGAGAGGAGAGAAGAGAAGTGCGCACACGCATAGGCGTTTATAAAGCGCGGTCCGCTTATCGCGCTCTTATCGTTCCGATATACCTCGCCTGCGCCCCCCTCCCTCCTCCCTCCGCCTCGGACCGCCCGCACTGGTTTTTCCCCGTCCCGCCCCGGCGATGATGACGGTCCTCGCGACGCGGTGACGAGCGGAGTCGAGCTCTCCGCGGGGTCGCGTCCGGGGCAGCTCGCTCCCGGAAGTTGCGGCCCAGTGCGGGCGTTGGAATCACCGCGTCCGTGCCACCTGGCCTCTACCGGTTCAGGCCAGGAGAACACCGGAAGACGACGACGACGACGGCCACGGCGGCGGCGGCGGCAGCGGTGGCGACGGCGGCCCGTTCTTCGTCGACGCGACGATCGACTGAGGACGACGGGGAACGGGAGGGCTCTTCCTCTTTCGACGCGGAGGGCGCCGTTGCTCTCTCGGTGCGACCGCGCGATTGCGCTCACGTCTTTTTCCACGCAAGCGCAATCCTCGGTCGATAGTCAGCACCGCCGATGCACACCCCTCCCGACGATAACCGGGGCTCCTCTTCCTCTCTTCCTCCCCCGCTCGTTGAGCCCCCTGGCTCGCGCGACACCGTCGCCCTTTCCGCGTTTTTCCAGACGGGTCCTCGGTCTCCCTCCGCGCGACTATCACTAACCCTTCCTCTTCCTTCCTTTCCTTTTTTTATCTTCCTTCCTTCCTTCCTTCCGTTCTTCTTGCCGTTTGCGACCCCTCACCTTTTTCACCACGCTGTTTGCTTGGATGCAGCACTTACCGCTTGTTTCACTCCAATGCTAATTCGTTTTCGGGGGTTCCGAATAGAAATGTACTCCGCGACTTATTCCGTCTTTGGTTCTCATTAATTTAAAAAATGCAAGCGGCGTTTGAATCTCCATGGCACATGCTTCTTTAGACGATCTATTATTTTCTTTGCGTATAACTTATCGGCAATACTAGTTTCAATAAATTGATAATCTTCTCGATAACGGGATATTACATTGGCTATGTATATCAATTACATCGCGATGTAAAATTTGTTTCACAAACGTGAGAAAAAGATCGGCGAGATCTCTCGAGGATTTCATCCCTTTAATATTGCCAGCGTTTTCTATTTCTCAACGGAGCGACGATCTGTAGAAAATAAGAGCGTTTTCTTTCAGCGCCATCGATCTGTGCAAAGACTATGATAAATCGCGAAAGGTTTTTCCTTTTTTTTCAACGAAAGAGAGTCTGCTCGTGCATGTCGCTCTGTCTCTCTCTCTCTCTCCGTGGCCGCTGAATTGGAAACGCTGACTCGTGCCAGCCAACACTGCATCGATGTTACCAGAGAACTCGACCAGCTCGTCACAATTTTCGTGCCGCCGCGTCCCTCTCGCCAGATCGATATCCGCGGAGACTCAACGCTTCGCGTAGGACACTTCCGCCTCGGGTCGCTTTTCGAAAAGTCACCCGCTCGCAAAATTTTCTCCTTGCGTTTCCGCTCAATTTGTCGCGCACGAATTAAAATCTCCGACACTCGGATGGCACCTGAACGATCAAGTCTTTTTACATTCTTGTCTACCTTATTTAATTTAATCGACGACTGACGAAGGCCTCACTTCCGTTCTTTGATAGACCGGGCATGTCGATTTCGTCGGAATGTAGAGGAACGTGATACGGGAATCGAATATTTTCTTTGGTACGATATCACACCGGCGGCGAGGAGGGTGACCGGATCGAGAGGATCCCTCCTGTGAGTCAGCCTAGTTATCTTGATTCTATATTTACACACACTTTGGCCCGGCCACGCGGTTTCTCGCGTGTGTCGACCTTTATCTCGGATCGGGGCGTCACGGTTTCCTCTTTCACCGATCCATTTCTTCTCTCTTTCCACCTTTTCCTTGCCTCTATCCCTTTGACTAGACGTTGACGAGCGAGCGAGTAAGTTTTATGCGCGCGCTAATCGCTACTTTAGATACCGACGCAAATGAAGGACGAGCGGATTGCGTGATGGGTTAGTGTGTTTTAGCCGCCTGCGCGGCCCCAACGGAATCCTGAATTAGTGGAAAACCGGAGGAACCCGCCACCAGATCTGAAAGAATTAGAGACACCAGTGGCAATTCTTCGCTACTTCCAATCGACGGTGTTCGGTGTTAAATCGCGGGCGCCCATTTAGCAATACCAGCCTTATTTACATTTACGGATGTTAGACGATAAGTGAGAGACGTTACGGCGAAGCAGACGTTAAAACCTTGTGTCCAAAAACCAGTTCCAAAAAATGCGTAGCCAATCAACTTGCAGCTTTCCCATAAAAGATGATTGGCTACACATTTCTCGGAACTTGGACCAAGTTCTAGCATCGTGGACACAGGCCTTAAGAATTACAACACATGTTCACTTCTACCAAATGCAAATTAACTTTAAATCCCGGCTTAACTTACTCTTTATCTTTTTCCAATTCTTAGAATTAACGAGTGTAGTAAGTTAAACCGAGATTAAAATTAGCCTACATTGGTAGAGCCTTCCGTAAAAGCATCTTTTACGGAAAAGCTGCAAGTTGATTGGCTACATATTTCTCGGAACTGGAACTTGGACACAGTTCTTGGATCGTGGACACAAGGCTTTAACAATTTACAACAGAGGCATATCTGATTAGTGTTACTCAAATGTTATACTCTCGATCAACCATTTGCCATTGTTACAAATGAAATTTCCCAATAGTTAGTACTATGAATGAAGATATAAAGTTTCTTTTGTTGGATAAGATTGTTACTAATACAGAAATTATCGATATTTCAAAAACTGTGGCGAGTATCATGGTATTTTTTAATAACGATGTCGTAAACGTCAAAATAAATTAAACTTCGAGTAACATTATATAATACTAAATGCATTATACTGAGAAATATAATTGTTTCCTCTTCATTTCATTTTGATGGCTGAAGGAATAATATTGTGTAACATCTTTTATAATAAAAAGAACACAACTGAGTGCGGTGAGGAATAAGTGATGGCAATGTCTCTCGATATTCGTGTACAAGGCGTCCAATTAGTAGCAACGAAATTATAATTAACCGGCGGATCATCTTACCAATTAGGATTTGCCAACTGCTTCGATTTCAGAGTAATATATCAACGATTATTCGCCGATATCGCACAAAGCGCAGATTCCGAAAAAAAAGTATATCCTATACAGTACGTTTAACATTATTTAAGAGATGAATTCTTTTAACTCTCTTGCACCCAGAAAAAAGTTTGAACTCAAACAAATTTGTTTGAGTTTCGATCCCACTAGACTTTCATTTAATGTCAAAGAAATAATTTCTTGACCTTAACCAAAATCTTATTTGATTGAAACTGG